TTTCCGAGGCAGTATCACTACGGAAGTAGATTGCCCCATCTTCCTTTTGAGGAGTGGCTGGTGGGTTTGAACTGCCAGCCTTCTGGTTAGCAGTCAAGCGCCTTAGGCACTAAGCTACCAGAGCTCCTACATATATATGTTGTTGTTATGTGTCATTGAGTCAGACCCGACTCATAGTGACCCCTCATTGGGTTTCTGAGGCAGTATCACTACAGAAGTAGATTGCACCATCTTCCTTCTGAAGAGTGGCTGGTGGGTTTGAACCGCCAGCCTTCTGGTTAGCAGTCAAGTGCCTTAGCCACTATGCTACCAGAGCTTATATATATATATATATACACTTCTTTGGGAGGAGTTCCATTTATGAGCTATAAGAAATGGGAAAGTGGTAGTAAAATATATTGTAAAGATTCTAACAAATATAAACCTACTAAATTTTAATCAAATAAACTATTAGAAAAATCAAGTACGTACAATGATTCAGTTTGGTAGAATTCTCAGTTATTCATGGTTTCCCTCAAAAACATCCATTGGACTCCCATCACACGTGGAATAAAATACAGTGTCTTTCTCAAAGCCTCAAAAGCCCCCTATAATCTGGTTCCGCTACCTTTATACACTCATTTCCTGAAATTCTCCTCCTTACTCAGTAGTCTTGAGACTTAAGTAAATAGTTATCTGATGCCAAAACCCTTATATTGCACCACTTTGCCATCTTGCTTCAATTGCAGAATTTTGATAATGTGAAATAAATACTAGACTGCTAACTGGATTCTAATTTTAGCTTTGAAGTTTACAGTCTATGAGAACTTCAGTGAACTGATTATTCACTATGGGCCTCAGTTTTTCTCACTGTAAAATGCAGTACTTGGATTAAATTTTTTCATCTGCCCTTTATTACCAAATCCTTTTTTTCTTCCTCCCTTTCTTTCTTCCTTCTTTCTGTTCTTTCACTCATTCTTTCTTTCATGGTGGGAGAGATCGTAGTGAAGAATGTATGTAGGTGCTGGGGAGAAGAGTATTGTGTGCATTTCTGTTAATTGCCATTTCGATAGAGGCAATGAGTTTTAGAACTACAAGTACCCTTCAAGGTTACCTAGAAAACTGTCTCAATTTACAAATGTTACTTAATTATGTTAGTTAATGCAATTCAATAAATTGAAAGTCACTGAGCTAGATCATAAACCACTACAATTCCCTGACAGTCATCATGAGAATATAAATAGAAGCACGCCCTGGAATATCCAATAAGTGTCCCATGTATATGATAAAAAGAAGAGGGAAAAAAAAAAAAAAAGCTCGTTTAAGCTGTACTGGCCAACTATTCAAAGTGACCATCGCAAAGTCTTCCTGGGATTCAGACACAATATGTTCTAAAGAACAATTATCTACCATAATTGTACTCAAAAGACCAGACTTATGATGGAAAATAGAGCAAGAATCAGCTCTCATGGTAAGAGGCCTTTGCTAGGGTTCATTTCCCCTTAGGTAATAAAAGAGAAAGATGACATTTGGAAATTGACAAAAAAGATTAATTTTCATATAGAGAGTCATAAAAAATTAGAAATAGCTATTAATAACTGTGTAACTATCTTTTAGACATGACTGTTTACAGCAGTACTTACAGTATTTCTTTACACATGGTACACTTATTGTTGTATGATTTTCCATCAGCACCACGTACAGGATCACTCTCCCGAGTACAGCTGAGTTTTCCATTTTTCATTTTTTCCCGATATTCAGCACATTGGTCCTAATAAGGGAGAAGGGAGCAAGCCCCCTGGATTACTTGGTCTGTTGATTTTTCAGTAGCTTTGTTAACAATTTGAGTGAAAATCTTATCTACCTTCCCTTATAAGGCATATACCACCTAGGGTTGCTACCCACTGGTAAAAGAGGGGCTAGCATCATTAATATTCTAGCTATAAGAAGTTAATTCTCATGGCCACTAATGTTGCTTTTAAGGTTCTATAGAGGGAAATTATAAGGTCAGCTAGGATGTAATAGCATAGAAGGTTCAGCAAACTATAGCCAGCTGGTCAAATTCGGCTTGTGGCCTTTTTTAATATATAAAGTTTGATTGAAATACAACCCCACACATTCATTTAGATAGAGTTTGTGGCTGCATTCTTGCAACAAAGGCAAAGTTGCATACTTGCAACAGAGAGCATATGGTCCACAAAGTCTGGAATATTTACTCCCGGGCCATTTACCAAAAAAGTTTCTTGTTCTGAGGTGCAGATAAAAAGGAGAGGAAAATGCTAGGGAGGAGTACAAAGTTATATAAAAGAGACATCAAGGAAGACAGGCTTGAATAATTATAAGAAGATAGACAATTATGACAAGGTAGAACAACATATTAACAGATGTTCTCCTTGAGAGTGTGAATTCAGACACCTAAAGCAGAAAAAGATGGAAAAATAGAAAGGTCAGAGTTTATCAAGGGCAAATATGGGGTATGTATCAGATATGGAAGAAAGACACAGTCTTGATGTCTCGAGAGCATGAGACGAGAAATAAGGTGGCTATAAAACTATCAAATTGTGCTCAAATACCCAAGAAGTAAGCTTACTGGCAACATTGTCATGCTGATACTTAAAAGCGCCTTGAGAAATATTCTAAGTATTTGCCTAAATTATTTTATTTTATTCCTATAAGAGTAGTGCTAGATAAAATAAAATAGTACAGGGATATGAAGTAATTTATGCATAGCTTCACAACTCATAAAGGGTAGGGAAAAGATTGCACCCTAAACTATTGGACTCCAAAGCCTTTCATTATTCTTTGCTGCCTTGGATTAATAGAAAAAAATACCTCACAAAGGTGGCTGCATCCAGGACAAAAAAAAAAAAAAAAATCAAGAAAGAAAATGAAGAGCACGTGGTGCTGATGAGGACAATTATTGGTGTGAGGGCTAGATGACTATAAAGAAGGGTTAGGAGACTGGGATAAGGTGATCACGCAATTAATTATCTCCAGGTTTAAAGAAAGTGAAATGAACTGTGTTGTTTTTGTAGTTATGTGCCGTCAAGTTGGACCTGACTCATAGCGACCCCTCCTCGGGTTTCCGAGGCAGTATCACTATGGAAGTAGATTGCCCAACCTTCCTTCCAAGGAGTGGCTGGTGGGTTTGAACCGCCAGCCTTCTGGTTAG